TCTAGTGACAGTTGTGATGAGACATCAAACTTTGCTATTTTTAAATCCTTTTCAAGAATAGAAATATATTATGAAAATTTAGTTTAGTCGATTGTAATTAATGATTATGACAATGACATTTTTTCGTCTCTGCCTCATGTTTGAGGAGAATTGGTAATTGACTGTTATTGACCCGATTTATTGACAGTTATTGACCCGAGTGATCGTTTCTGAAACGCTTGACTTCTGACCCAGCCTCACAGATCAATCAATGCCTTTTTCTATTTCTTTCAAATTTTCTTTCAACAGAATGTTTTTCTCTATGCTAATAAAAATGAAAAACCACATGAATTGTCCTGTTAACTTGCTAATAAGTAATTACTATGATCATTTGGTATTCATAATTTGTACTAAGTGGGTATCGCAGATTTTATAAATGCATCAATGAACCGTTTGATAGCAGGTAAAAAAATTGTTTTGCGACTCTCTTAGATAGGAAATTGCCAGCATTGAAAACTTACGTAAACTTGATACCCGGATCATTTACTAATGTCTTAACCATCAAGTGAATCATATTTATTTTTTGATGGGCCTGAATACTAATAAACACAGTTCATGATGTCTGCTTATTAACAAAATATGTTCCAATAAACATTTGGAACTTGCATTGTAGCTAATTCACAATTCGCCCTTGCATGGAGTATTGCTGCCATATATAGTCTGGTGCCCCTTCTGTTTGCCTCGGGGTTCTTGATAGGCTCCAGAGGCGGATATGCAATATAGTTGGCCCTGCTCTGTCATCTCGTCTACAGTCACTTTCTCACAGACGCGCCGTTGCCTCCCTCTGTCTGTTCTAGAAATACTTTCATGGAAATTGCTCCGAGGAGCTGCATTCGCTGATTCCCAGACGTCATGAGTTCCAGCGCCCTACGAGGCTGGCATCCCGCTCTCACCCCTTCACTGTCGAAACTCCTAAATGTAGCCGTCTCTTCTACTCTAATAGCTTCATGTCTCGTACCTCTCGCCTGTGGAACTCCCTTCCCTGTTCCTGTTTCCCTGTGAGCTATAATCTCCAGCTATTCAAGTGTAATGTCAATCGACATCTGCAGTTGCCTTGATCTATCCACTACCCTCATCCTTTCTTCTATCACTCCTATCTGATCTTGCTCTAAATTTTCTGTAACCCCTTGCGTGCTAGTGGCTTCCCGCCTTGCTTGGGGTGAAATGCTTAAAAAAAAAAACTGATAATTACGTATTTCCAATAGTCGGAATTTCATTTTCGTTTCGTTTCCTTTGTTTTACGGCATATAAATCCCAATGGGTTATTTAATGGCGACAAAATTTTTATTGCTGGAAATATATATATATATATATATATATATATTTTTTCAAAAATGTATTTTTGGTAATATTTTCTCCTACAAAATATCTATTTCTGCTAATATGTTTTCTTCAAAAATGTAGAGCTGGTAATATCTTCTTTTTTCAAAAATGTATTTCTGGGAATTTTTTTTCTTCAAAGATGTATTTCTGGGAATATTTTTGTTCAAAAATCTGTTGCTGGTAATATTTTCCTCGAAAAATGTAGAGCTGGTAATATTTTTTCCAAAAAAATGTATAACTGGTAAAAAAAAATGTATAGCTGTTTGTATTGCTGGTAATATATATATATATATATATATATATATATATATATATATATATATATATATATATATATATATTTAACAAGTATTGCTGATAATAATTTTTTTCCTTCAAAAATTTATTGCTGGTAATAATATTTTTACAAAGTATTTCTGGTATTAAAACATATTTTTACATTTTCATAGTCTTTTGACACCAGTTTGGGGGTTAACTATTTGCCCATATCTGGGACCCTAACAGGTGCTACCACCACAGGTCAGTGTGGACCTGGTAACACCAGCAATTGAGAGTTGGTTCCATGCTTCTCAGAACCTCCTGATCATAGGACTTACTGTTGAACGTAGTTTATCGTCTTACCCAGGACGCGGATGTAGTTTATCGTCTTACCTAGGACGCGGATGTAGTTTATTGTCATAACCAGGACGGTCGGAATTTGATAAAAATAAAGTATCAAATGCTGATTTTCAAGGCAGAAAACCAGGCGCGCGTCTATACCCCGCTATGTCTTCCCTTCCGTTGTTACTGTAGAAACATTAATAGAATTAAATATCATCCTGAAAATCTATTAATTAATATAAATAAAAAATATTCAAATATTAATTCCAATCGGCCGACATTGATTCCAAAAGAAAGATTTTCTTTGCTTGCGTTCTTTTTTTACCTTTGTTTTGGTTTGTTTGTTTGTTTGTTTATTTGTTCCTATCTTCTCACTCGTTTTTAAAATGTCAGATTTTTTTTTCATTTATTTATATCGAATAATCGATATGCAATCCAAAATCAGTTGGGGAAAAACATGATAACCAAACAAGAAATGTTATCAAGATGCAAAAATATTGACATTTAGATAAATGTTTTAAAATTATCAAATAAATATCAATTTTTATTTAATTTTCAAATAAATTTGTCTTTAAACTCTATACATACATTATTTAAGAATATTTAACTTTTAATTTTTATTTCAAAAGTTTCACTTCAGTTACTCTGACAGATATTAAACTCATTCAACTGATCGCTTAATGATAACAGCGATCAGTGATACTTACTCCTACACAAACTCAATCATAAACCATTTAGCACCGTTCATAATACGTTAATGATAATTATTTTACATGTGTACATAATTATAAATGGAAAAATCTTGTAGCACCAAATCTTTAGACAATATTTATACTGAAAATGTCAGTCGAAATTCTGTTATTTAATCAGCGTTAAACATCAACTGGTGGAGTCAGAAACACTTTAAGTCTGATCTCCTTCATATTGAAGTGTTGAGCTATGAACGCTGCTTGAATCGATAGAAGATCTACAAATGTTTAGAGAGGGGGTGGGGAATGGAGACAACTCTTCTCGTTGAATCCCGCCATTGATATTTGATTCCTGTTTCATGAATGATTCTTGATTTCAAATTTGAGAGTTCCATACTTACCAATTATTCAACCGTACAATTCTTCTTCTTCTCTCGTCCTCTAACATTCACATCACTCTAAAACTTCGTGCCATTTTGAGAAGAATCTAGATAACATCCGAATTGAGGAGCTATCGGCCATTATTCAAGAATTTTTTATTTAGAACTCATTCACTGACATTTTTAAGACTTTAATAGTTTTGAAAGAGAAATTTCACAGGTAAACCAGTCGAACATTTATTCATTAATAACATTGCATAGATAGATAGATAGATAGATAGATAGATAGATAGATAGATAGATAGATAGATAGATAGATAAGTAAATAGAGGGGAAGAATGAGAGATAAATATACGAAGAAACAAATGTATAAAATTTATATATGTATGTGATAGATACTGAACAGAATCAGATAGATAGATAGATAGATAGATAGATAGATAGATAGATAGATAGATAGATAGATAGATAGATAGATAGGAAAACAGAGGGAATGAGAGACAGTTGAATATACGAAGAATCAAATGTATAAAATTTATATTTATGTTTGTGTGCGTGCCTGAGCGTGAGTGTATATTTAACCATATATATATATATATATACGTATATTTGTGTGTGTACACTCACTCATATATTTCTATGTGTACAGAATTTGAATCCTAGTAAATGTTAGTCAGACAACTGTATCGATTCTGAAACAAATAAATCCGAATATTGAATACATCTACTTCGTAAATTTCGAAATTTTATATATGTACACGAATAATGCAGCAATACATACACACAAACACACACACACACATATATATATATATGTGTGTGTGTGTGTGTCTGTGTCTGTGTGTGTTGTAGCCTGCGGTTTGTTGCGCAAATTAGTTTACATGTCTACATATGCGCACCTGTCTTTATTTTAATTATTAGGCGCCCAACTACTCTGAGAAAGCAAGAATAATTGGAAAAAATTCTTTTCGTTAATAACAGAATTGAGATCTACTGGCAAGTCGAATCTCACCATAACTTAGAGGTGAACACGCAGGTCAAGAAGAAGAAAATAAACTACGTAGATAGATAGATAGATAGATAGATAGATAGATAGATAGATAGATAGATAGAACAGGTTATGAACAGGTCATTATATGAGATAAATAGATATTTATAGATAGATCATTATATGAGATAGATAGATAGATAGATAGATAGATAGATATATAGATATGATATATAGATAGATAGATAGATGAATAGAACAGGTCGTAGATATAGATAAAATAATAGAAGAAATGGTATTGAATGAATGATGAATAGATAATAAAAAAGGCGTCGATAAGGGAATGTTGGAAATTAATTATAAGAAAGGAGAAGGGAGGAAAAGAAAAGAAAGAAAAGAAAGAAACAACTGGAAGAAGAATAAGGATTAGGAAGAAGAAATTATGGGGGAAAAGAATGTAAGAAAAATGAGGAAAGAAATGAATAAAGAAAGAGAGGGAATAGAAGAGAGAAAAAAAGATAAAGAATGAAAGGGGGGATTAAAAAGGGAGGAAAAAAGAGACAGAAATAAAAGGAATGAGGAAGAGAATGAAAAAAGGAAGAAAAAGAGAGACAGTAACAAAGGAAGGAGAAAGAGAATGGAATAAGGAAGGAAAAGAGAGACAGAAAGAAAGGAATGAGAAAAAGAGAGAAGGAAAAAAGGAAGAAAAAAAGAAGCAAAGGAAGGAGAAAGAAAATGAAAATATAAAATAAGAAAGGATGAAATGAAAATCATTTCTGGAAGGAAAAACAAGATGAAGGAAGAATTATTGGAAGTAAGAGGGAGAATCAAGAAGAAGAAAATGAAGAAAAGGCGAAAACGAAAATATAAGAGAGAAAAAAGTGCAAATAAAAAAAAAATAGGGAAAAATTATAGTTTGGGAACGAGATCTAAAATACTGAATAAATATGATCAAGAGAAAGGAAGGAAGTAGAGAATGAATTAAAGGAAGGAAGGAAGGAAGGAAGGAAGGAAGAAAGGAAGGAAGGAAGGAAGGAAGGAAGGAAAAGAAAGTATTAAAAGAAGAAAAAAAGGAAAGGAGTCCAAAAAAGAAATGAATGAAGAAAGAACAGATCGTATGAAGGTTTTTGCTTTTCTGTCTTTGCTAACTGAAAATAAACAGAAAGAAAACGAAAGAAAAAAGAAATAACTGTTAAGAAAGGGAAATGGAAGAAAAGTGTGAATGGAAGAAAGAAGTAGCGAGAATAATAGAGAAATAAAATAGAAAAGAGAGAAAGGGTTAAAGAGAGAAAAGGTTAAGGAAAGAAAAGTGAGAAACGGTTATAGAATAGAAAAGGGAGAAGAGGTTAAAGAAAGAAAAGAGAGAAAGGATTAAAGTGAGAAAGGGTTAAACTGAGAAAAGAGAGAAAGAGTTAAAAAGGAAAAGAGAGAAAGGGTTATAAAAAAAGAGAAGTAGTTAAAGAAGGAAAAGAGAAAAAGGGTTAAAGAAAGAAAAGGGAGAAAAGGTTAAAGAAAGAAAAGAGAAAGTTAAATTATAAAGAGAAAAAGGAAAAAAAAATATGACCGGAGGAAAGGGTGGGAAATAGGAAGGAAATCCGGAAGTTGTAGAAGCGGATAAAAGAAAAAGACATGTCTATGGATAAAAGTAGAAAAGAGAAAAGTCATGAAAGAAGACATAATGACCCGAGGGAGATATGAAGTCGGTTGGAGGGAAAAAGAAAAACGGAGAAGACGAAACGAACATGGTCCCTTCGATGCATTGTTTATTCAGACTGAGAGCAAAGTATATTCGGAACACGTTCCTGTTTCAAGTATCGTAACAAAGAAATTTTGAAAGCTTCGCTTCCTGTTCTTCTAAGAAACCCCAGACATCGAGGAAGCGTTGTTGGGGCAAAAGCCAGGGTCTGCTACCGTGATGTCCCCCATGATTTCGCTTGGAACAGTTGGTGCGCATGAACGGACTCGACAGGCAGACACTTCTTCGAAGGTCAAAAGTTGATACACGCCTAAAATAGACAACGACCACATGAAAAGATGGGAGCAAAACATAAATCAAGAAACAAAGATATTTTTTTGTCTACAAGCATCACTGATTTCTATAGATATGTAGAAAAGGAAAGTGAAAAATGTCAACATCGATTTATACATACGTTGCTTTTGTACACGGGGGCTACGTACGTATGTAAATAGTCATCTGTGGTGTTTTAACCTGATGCATAAAAAGATCATACACACACACACACATATATATATAAATATATATATATATATATATATATATATTATAAATTAATTGATTTAAAATATGGTTTTTCGCTACACAGTAATAACCATGTTTAAAAAATGGAAGCTAAAAACTTTAAATTTAATTATATAATTAAATTAAAAGCATTAGTTCCGTTTCATCTTCAAGCGAATATCGAAGATGAAACGGAACTAATGCTTTTAATTTTATTATATAATTTATTCGAATATTATAACATTAATATGTTATAAAATCACTACAAAAATAGCCATTTTGTTTGAACACTTGTGGTGACTTATCAAGTGAAGGTGCTGAAAGAGTTTTTAAAAGATTCAAATCAATCAAACAATCCTCGCCAGGGGAAACACTGTTACATAAGCTGGAATGACCAATCAAAATACAAGTAGATGAGAATTCAAAAAACTTGACAAAGAACCTTGGTTATAATAATTAATACTTTAATGATAGGGTTGGACTAAAATAAAAATCATTCTAACTAATTAATATTAAATTTTACTATAAAATTGAAAATTAAAAATTACCAATTAAATTTAATTTGTATTAAGTTCAAAATATAAAATTATTAATACACACACACATATATATATATATATATATATATATATATATATATATATATATATATGGGTATTTAGGCAGCAATCCTTCTTTCATGCACATTTCATTGAATTCGACAAAGTGCTCATATTTAGTTTTTTATATAATTTCTCATGTCATCTAATATTTTTTATTCTTTTTAATGATAAATTATATAAAAACTGTCGGAAAGTTTTTATATAATTTATCATCTGAAAAGATAAAAATTATTAGATCACATGAGAAATTGTATAAAAAAACTAAATCAAAGCACCTTGTCTGTCGTATTCAATGAAATATTCATATATATATACATATACTTACATACATACACACACATACACACACACATATATATATATATATATGTATGTATGTATGTATATATATATATATATATATATATATATATATATATATATATAGTGTATTGGGGCACCAGATCACTATTCAAACATATATTGCTAAATAAAACAGACAACGAATGTCTATTATGTCTGATCATGAGCCGTTTTAAACTTAGTATATTTTTTAATTACATTTCAAACTAGTCACAACATTAAATTGTATCTAGACATAAAGTTCTGTTGTTAATATTTCATTCTCTCACGTGGTACGACGTCATAGAACTGCAACATGAATTAACGACCTGCGTCTGCTATTCTGCGACCGTTATCGTTGCATAGCAATCTTCTATGTAAAAATAAGAGAATATCATCTTTGATGGTGAATATCTTTGTTGAAATGTCCTTATAACCACTCTCAAGATGGCTCATGTGAGCCGAAAGCTTAGATCAAGGAACAGCATAATAAAAAAATATCCAAATGTTGTCTTTATTTTCTCCCAAAATTAAATTAACGCAAATATACGAAGTTTAGAACGGCTCATGATAAAACATAATAGACATTTGTTTCCTGTTATATTTAACAATAGATGTTTCAATATATATATATATATATCAAAATAATCAAAGGATTTATTTTTAATCCGACATTTTTATAATTTCTTCGTCTATCAGCTTGCACATTCGAAAAATTCTAGTAGAAAATACACTCCCCGTCTCGATCCAGCGTGCTTCACCGTTCAGCCACGACATTTTTATTACTTCAAACGTTATTATAACAGATACTCCGTATTTGAAATACATGACCTTGCATGATGCGTCGTTCACTGTAGCCAAGATGTGAAGCGCACTGAATCGACCGGTGGTTTTCCTTAATTTGGGGGCAGCATGTTCGATCCCTGCCGGGGATCTCATTTATCTTCACTAGTATTTCTCGACTGCGCATTCTGATAGTCTTAATACACACGGTTTCATAAACAAACATAGGACGTCTATTTCAAATACGAAGTGCCCGCTATAATAACGTTTGAAATAATATATGTAACGTTTTTGTGCTGATATATAAGATCTCAAGTAGGAATCTACGCAGGCGACACTAGCATTTACACTTGTCTCAGAAGCAAATCCGCCATTGCTGACAAAGTTAACTTGGCTGATGATCTTGAAAACGATCTCCAGTCTGTGGTTGACTGGAACAGGAAATGGCTTGTGAATTTTAATGCAACGAAAACGAAGCTGCTGTTATTTACTCACCATAGAGAAACGTCCCTGCCTCCTATCAGCTTTGGTTGATGCTCAACTCCACGGGAACAGCTCTCTGCGCTTTCTAGGAACAATTACATTAAATTCAAGGCTGCATCTACCGCAAGGAAAGTTGATTCTCTGTGTCGCGCCAAAAGATTTTTCTCATCTGAGTCCATCATTCAAATCTACCAGGCATGGAATACTGTTGCCATATTTGGTTTGGTAACCCCTCTTTTCGTCTCGAGGTCCTCGACAAAATCCAAAGACGAATATGCAATTTGATCGGTCCTGACTTGGGGTTTCGTCTCCAGTCACTTTCTCACCGACGTAATGTGGCTTCCCTTTGTCTTTTCTATAAATATTTTCATGGCATCTACACTGACGAAATATTTTCACTGGTGCCCCGACTGCAGGAATTTAAGCATGCTACTAGGTTGGCATTTCGCTCACAGCCTTTTACTGTGGAAACAATTAAATGTAACCGCCTCTTCTACTCCTTGCGGAAGTTTTTCTCTTCCTTACGGAATTCCCTTCTTCTTACTTGCTTCCCTGATGCTTCAAAAATGTAAATGTAATGTCAATCGACATCTTCTGTTTCTTTGATCACCTTTCTTCTTTTTATCCTTTCCTCACCCCCCCCCAATATCCAGTCTTTTTCCTTGCTTAACTCTCTGTAGCCTCTTGCGTACTAGTAGCACTCCTGCCTTGCTTGGGGTGAAATGCTTATATATATATATATATATATATATATATATATATATATATATATATATAATTTGAACCCTTGTACTTTCTCGCCATTCATAGCAAAACTTCTATTAACACAGTGTGGGATAACAAATAAAAAAAGTACTGAAAAGAAAAAAAAACTAAATGAAATTGGCTAGAATTAAAAAAAAATATATTAAATTCCCAGCATCCCTCGTTCGTGAATAGTCGTACCAAATTTAGTCCGATGAATTGATTAGGAAGGTGTTTTGAGTGATCACTTGTGATGGCAAAGTTATGCCTCGGTTCATCTTCTCAACACAGGGGGCAACCTCAGGTGCCTTGAGGGGGTAGTTCTGCCCTACGTCAAGAGGGTGGCTGCTGGAAGATCCTATGTCTGTAAACAGGACTCTGCACCATGCCATACAAACAGACAGACAATTTCTGCGACCACATCACCCCTTACATCTGTCTACCTAACTCCCCAGACTGCACCCACCGTTGATTATTATGTGTGGGGTGCAGTTGATATGAGAGATTAACAAAATTCCTTGTAATAGCAAAGATGAATTGAAGGCAAGGATTATGGCATACATAAACAAGGGGACTGCCCATAAGAGTTGCAGGGGATTCTGAAGTTGTCTGGAGGCCTTGGTTAAAGTCAATGGCGTTTTTCTTGAAGACATTTACTCTTTAGTATTTCAAGATATTTTTGTGTAATTTAGATATTTTTTGTAAATATATTTGTTAAAATAAGATGTCAGTGTTATTTTACTTTTTAATATCATTTAGGCAATTTATCCACCTCACCATATATGTATATGTATGTATGTATATATATATATATATATATATATATATATATATATATATATATATATATAAATACCTCCATCAGATCGCTAAAAAAGAGCATAGCATGATGAAAAAGACGCCAAACTTGACGAAAACAAAATTTTATCGTCTAAATGTTTATATTATTATTAAGAGGAAAGAACAAAGTATTTTTTTAACTATTTTTTTTAAATTTCCTTCTTTTTAGAACATTTTAACTTTTGATTAAAAAAAAACTTGTTTGTCTTTGTATCAGCGGAACTAGTAAATAACATATACAATTTTAGCGCTTTTTTTTTTTTGTATGACAGACATTAATTTGGAAAATCTTGCAAAAATAAAAATAATTGTCGAATATTAATGAAACTTTCAGAAACTATTCACAAATGATGGAAATTATTATAAATATGTTTTCTTTTTTTAAAGTCATGGCAAAAATATTTTTTTTATACTTAAAACCCCCATAACTAATTTTATGAAAATTCTAGAAATTCAATACCATTCAGTTTAATGATTATATTAGTTAAGAGGAAAAAGCTTTAAGGAAAGTAAATCATGTTTATTTTTATTTTTTTTTAATTGGAACACCCCCCACCTAAAAATCAGCTCTGAATTGTAGCATACAAAACTCAATAAAAGAAAGATATTATTTAATTTCAAATGCTTTTAATTGTTTTTATGAATAGGGATAATATTGTCTGAAAGCAGAAAATTTTCGGTGAAAAATGAATTTTTAAAACAATTATCTATTATTTCTTAAATTATTTTATTATTTTTACATTAAAGTTGTTAAATATTCTAAAATTAGTGAAAACGACATTCAGTTTAGTCAATGGTGTTATTAAATAGATCTATCTTTTAACATTATAAGTTGTACAGCTTATAACAATCAGAAGAGCCGAACTGTATAAAAAAAAAGCTAATCCCAGATTAAAACAGCTCTAATTCAAATTAACGAAGACCAGCAAGTATACAATAAAATGTCGCGCGAAGCGTTGTTCTCCGTTGTTAGGACCTCTTTTTCTTTGCAAAACACGTATGGAGACGTTAATTTGATTTTTCAATTTCAACTGAGAAGGGCACCTACAAGTATTAGGTACCTATCTAATGAAATTTATATGATCTTATTTTTATATTTTCTCAGTTATGACGTTTTTCCATAAATGAAATATCAAAATTAATAATAAAATAAATGGAAATACAAATAACACAGTAAAATGTAATAAATGTACATAAAATTATAGTATTTTATGTACACTTCTGATAAAATTTCATAAGAAAGGTACCTATAAATTAATTAGATACTTTTATGAAATTTAATCTCAACGGCCTTATTTTAATTTTTTTTCTAATATATTCTCCATAAAGCATCGTAAACGTAAAGGTGAAAGCTAAGTATAAAAAGTAGAGTTTTTCCTTAAAAATAACGAGATAAATAAGTTGGTTCACTTAAATGTAAATAATTATGTCACTTCTGTCCTTCTGTATGATAATTTTTCCTCACGTAAGCTGTCAATACGTGTTGAAATCATCATTCATCACCAATCAAAGTGACACCAAATGTTATGACTTGCTTTGATTTATTTTTAAACTACAGCTTTTCGTCACAGAAACTAAGTAATGCTTGTTTCAAAATATTTTAAATAAACATTATAATTTATAATTTTCTTAAAATAAATTTTGAAAAAATTATAATTGATTTTTAAAAGAATTTAAAACTGAGATTTTCATTTTTTTATAAAATAGAAAAAATGGTTGGCATGATTGAATATATGTCAATTTTGCTAACTCAGAAAAGCAAGATTTTTAACGAAAATTTCAGACGTGCTAGGAACGATTCAAAAATGTAAAAAAAAAATGATTTTTCTTCTTAATAATAACAGAAACATTAAGACGATAAAAGTTTGGAGTCTTTTTCATCACGATATTTTCTTTTTTTAGAGATAACTATATATATATATATATATATATATATATATATATATATATATATAGAGAGAGAGAGAGAGGGGGGGATAGATAGATAGATAGATAGATAGATAGATAGATAGATAGATAGATAGATAACATATATATAACATATATATAACATATATATATGTGTGTGTGTGTAAAACATTATGCATCAGTAGAGAACGATGCTCTATGATTATTTATAAGTATTTTTTCTTAAAACTGAAGAATTTGTGGGTTCTGAAAAGGAAACTTAAAATTATCCCAATAAGAGTTTTTATTCTCTCAGCTTAATGATCCGTCCCTCAGGGAGGATTGGATTCATGCCTTTTCGAAAAGTGTTGGAAATAAGCATGAATAATACAACACAAAATGTAATGTTAACAAAATGTATTGAAAAAAAAAATATTAATATTTACAGTTAGTTTGGTATATTCTTGGGAAGACTGTTCCTGCATAATGGGTTGACTAAATCGCAGTCTTCCGTACCAACCCTATTTATATTTTGGTCGGTAGTCCCCTTATGTAAAATTAGGTGTATCATACCCAAAAAGAAAATATTAATAGCCGTAATTTATTGTTTTACTTCCCCAACAAATCGAACATTTTCTTGTTTACTTCCATCTATATATGTTTCATGATTTTGTACGCATCAATATATGAACATGAAGATTGAATTCTGGTATCTGAACTGCAGGATTTAAGAGGCAGATCAGATTATAGGATTGCATAAGTAGGTGGATATATGCGCTCTGATTAGGATCAAATATTTCTGACCTACATACTATACATCATATCATAAAATATTTTCATCAAATTCTAGTCAGATTAAAAGAAATTGAACTAAAGGATTAGTATTTACATAATACTTCCGAGCATTCTGAGATAGATAGATAGATAGATAGATAGATAGATAGATAGATAGATAGATAGATAGATAGATTAAACAGAGTAAGATAGATTGATTAAACAGATTGAGATAGATAGATAGATAGATAGATAGATAGATTTGAGATAGATAGATAGATAGATAGATAGATAGATAGATAGATAGATAAAGACACCGAAGTAGATAGATAGATAGATAGATAGATAGATAGATAGATATGAACAGACTGAGAGATAGATAGATAGATAGATAGATAGATAGATAGATAGATATGAACAGACTGAGATGGATAGATAGATAGAGAGAGAGAGAGAGAGAGAGAGAGAGATGAACAGACTAAGATAGATAGATATATAGAGAGAGATATAAACAGACTTAGATAGATAGATAGATAGATAGATAGATAGATAGATAGATAGGAAGGAATGTATTTTATACCTGAACGTGTATTTATATTTCTTAATATGGCAATCCTAGATTGACATTTCGCAGGATTTATTTTCACAAAAATGCAAAGTATGCAATTGTGAATTTGGCAATCCTGGTAGATGTTGTGTCGTCAAAGTTCTTTATACTCTATTGTAATTTTTGTTCACTAAACCTTCCCCCCAACACCAATCACCAAAAATACCTGATTAGATCCAAACATGCTTCAAAGTTTTCTTTGGTTGATATTTCATAAAATATTTTCGAATGTCGGGGAAAACGAAGTATGTATAACATGAAAGTAAGCGGAATTTCGGATTTAGCTGAATTCAATGGCGGTTTTTCTCTTTCCTTGTTCGAAACTATATCAGCCATTTACGCCAACCAAAAAGAGAGCTTTCATCTCGAAGAAACTGGAATGACTTTTGTTCTGTTAGGATAAAATAGAAAGAATGCATGTTTGGCAGAACGGATTGATAAGCGTTCCCACTTGACTGAAAATCAGACTTGCTTTTAGATGAACGCTTACTTCAACACACACCTGATTCTCTTGGTCAACCGTTAAAATGCCACTCATATTCAATTCCCCTACTTTTCGCAGAAAATGTCCATTATTTCTCTGAAAACCTACTACGAACAAAACAAGTGCCAATTTCTTATACTAAGTATTGAGAGAATTATTTTGTATTTGACAAGATATCACAAATGGAACAGGAAGGATTGAATGTCTGTAAATATTTTTATGTTTACAGACAGATATATAGAAAAGGACAGAATAAGAGAGAAAGATTTGATATAAATATATACCAAATATTTGACCAAAAATTGAAATTTAAGCGCAACAGAAATACACGTATATTCATTTCAGTTTTGTTGATCATTCTAAATGAACAAATCGCATTGCAATTGCAAATTAGACCTTTAACTGTCATGTGACATTTGTGTCATTTACATAATTTCCGAGTGAATTAAAGTAAACAAGGACTTTAAGTTGCATCAGAAAAATGCGCTTATGTGATAAAACAGTATACATCCCAAATTGCAATATTATATGGACTGACCAAAATTAACGAATAAAAAAAAACAAATGAAAACTACAGATAAAGTTCACTTTCTTCAGAAACAGTCATTCACTCCTGTAGTTCACTGCTACTAAAAAGCAGGGTTTTTTTTATCCTGATGATGGCCATGCTGACCGAAACTAGTCGAGGAACCCAAATTGAAATAATAAAACAAAACTGTTAATATACAATCCAGTGTGTCTAAAAATTTTTATTTTATATATATATATATATATATATATATATATATATATATATATAAACATATATTGTTAAATGTAACTAATGTCTATTATGTTTGATCATGATCACTTCTAAGCTTCGTATCGTTGCTTTAATTTTAATTTAGGTTAATTTAATTATTTAAGCTTAGATCGAGGAACAGCATGATAAAAAATATCCACATAACTTAAAGCAAATATACGAAACTTAGAACGGCTCATGATCAAACATAATAGACATTCGTTGTCTGTTATATTTAACAATATATGCTTGACTAATGATCTGCTGCGCCTATACAACACATATATATATATGTGTATGTGTGCGTGTTTGCGTGTGTGCGTCTGTGTGTGTGCGTGTGCGTCTGTGTGTGTGCGTGAAAAATTAGATCTTCAGTCGATTTCCGTCAACTGATGTCCTAACGCTTTATTTTTTTTAAATAAAAAATTTATGAAGGCCATATTATTTTAAATAAATAAATGAATGGCTAATTTTTCATGCTGACAAAGGTTACAGATATTGCTATGCTTGTTGTAAATTTTTAAATTTTCCTGCTTGCAATCGAATCTTTTTTTATTTTTTATCTTTATTTTCTACACATTGTTGGCTAGTTTAGAAGACGTTCTAAGGCTTTCTAGCTTAAAAGATGACTTATGATTGTACTACCTCTTCTTAAAGTTACCCTCAGTACACCCTGTGTATATTTTTTTTATATCTATTACTTCTGCTTTGTAAATTACTGCTTCAGTTTTGTAAACTTCATCCAATGGACATCTATTTTTATTTCTACATTTACATATTTCACTGTTAACGATATCTTGTTGCATGTTAGTTTTGACATTTCTGGCGTTTTTTCTTTTTCTTGTGGTTTCTAAATTACTAGCACAGCTGTAGCCTAAGTTAACTATGGTTTTGTTAAATATTTTATGTAATTCAGAATTTGGGGGAAGTATTTAGTAAGTTATTTGAAAAATATTTTCCTTATTTTACACTTAGAGAACTAGAAAGGATTATTATAAAAATAGACATAAAATGTCTATATGATTCAATGAAAGATGCTTGATGAAGATATACTGCCTGAATATACATAAATGCATATATATATATATGTGTGTGTGTGTGTGCGTGCGTGTGTTTGTGTGTGTGTGTGTGTGTGTATTGGTGTAATAGGAAAGGAGAGTTAGATTAATGATCCAAAGTTCTTTAATATGATTTTATTATTAAAAAAACAATGCTTGATACAAAAGTAGAGCTTAAATTATAATTATTTTCAAAAAAATATGATTCCATCGCGACACAGAACTTACTATGTTTCGAAATTTGACTCAAGTCCTAAAGTTTAATTACAATATTTTTCGAAACTTGAGAATAAAACTGCACTCTAAATTTTAAAGTTTAATATTGAAATTAAACATTTTATAAACGTTTCATCATTTTTAAACGTTGAAACAAGATATACAGTTTTTAGTGGGTATGTACATGTTCTAATGTAACAGTGCATAATAAATAAATATTTACGGCTATACTTTTGAATTGAACTGTTTTAAATTGATGTTTTGAACGCTGAAATCTTACTCTTCGTTCGTTTGAATTTATTTTATAGATATATATATATATATATATATATATAGAGAGAGAGAGAGAGAGAGAGAGAGTGAGGGAGAGGGAGAGAGAGAGAACCACTTTGTGTTATTATGTAAAATATAATGCGTATGCAAAAAATACGTTTGTGTATATATGTGTATATTGTGTATATATGTGCGTGTGTGAGCATGTGTGTGCGTCTGTGTGTGCGTCAAATTTTGACGTATGCGAAACCAACAGTTTAGTTTAGAGCTGAACAACTTGATTACACGTACAGATGATTGGGTTAAAGTGGTGAAGGCTTGTGTTGAGCCATCCACGCTTTTCGGAAAGACCAATAACAGAAAAATGAGAGCACAATGTGCAATGAAGTCTTCAAACAGCTCTCTTCAGGTTTGAATTTGGCTTTTTTCTCCTTCTAGATTGGCTACCACCCCAAATATGATGGGAGATAACTCAGTCTGATTTTCTATTTCTTACTTTTCCAAGGACATTTGTGCGAAATGTACGAAAAAGAATCGATTAATATTGAAGTCTGGTGCAAGCCTGCCTGCCTGCCTGCCTTCCTTCCTTCCTTCCTTCCTTCCTTCCTTTCAGAGTAAAATACGGAAACTCCCAAAAAAAAGGTCGGAGAAAAGTTTAGAAAAATCTGCCAACCAAGAATGTCAAAGACACAAAAAGAAAAAGACAGAATAGGTTATTCTTCTTTTGTTTAGAGCATGTGACACAAAAGCTACATTGCTAGAAGAAGCAGCAACATTGGTAAAGTGATTCCTTGACGCATATTCTGTAGAACGAAAAAGGACCATGTATATCTGCAGCTGACAAATAGCTTCCCGAAGATAAATATAAACCTCTGAGATATTTCTGTCTTTCTATCACGATGCATTTTTCATTACAGACAAATCTCGCAAGATTCCATACAAATATAAGACCTGGAACAATATCTTTCTTCAAATGCGCGTTCGGTTTCCTACTTTTTAAGAAAACTACAATTATTTGGCTGACGCATAAGTGAAAATATTGAAAAAAATTATATTGCAAAGCTTAATGCATATTAGACGTTGTACAGGCATTGAACATTAAACATTTTGTTTAAATGAATATAAAATTTCTTTATATATATATATATATATATATATATATATATATATATATATATTAAAGGTAATTATTCCGTTAGTATATAATCCTAGTGGATCCTAGTAATATAAAATATTAAAACTGATCCACAAAAAGAGCTCAATGTATTTATTATACAGAGCAAATAAATAGTAGTAAACCATAAAATCCAGAATTACAACATATGGGGGTAATTTTGGATTTTATAATTACTACTACATATATATATATATATGTGTGTGTGTGTGTGTGTGTTATTTTATATGCGCAGTACTTAGCGGAAAGCGCTCAATATTAGTGATAGAGCTAACATATTCAGTTGTATGGAAACCCAGGGTCACAAACTCATATCCATACAACTGAATATATATATATATGTGTGTGTGTGTGTGTGTGTGTGTGTGTGTGTGTGTGTGTGTGTGTGTGTGTGTGTGTGTGTGTGTGACAAGGTGGAAAACTTTTCTTGTGACGCGTGTCGTCCTTTATTACTTCATCGGGGACTAAATTTATTATGTTAGTGCAACTACGCATGCGCATGAATAAGGGATGCTGGGAATTAGCTCGTGTTCACTCGCTGTGATTCACCAAACATTATTTTCAGGAATTAATATAAAACTGATTGTAGGACATTGCAAATGTGGATATCGAAGTGATTGATGTTTGGCATCAGAATTGGTACTAAGTTTGTTTTATTTTCAGCTCATGAAGAATTAGTTTGAGAACTAAATCCATTTCGCCCAATTTAGCCTTCCAAGCTCACACATGTCAGATGTTAAATAAAATAAAGATAAATTTATTGTTTTATCGTCATTAATTGAACAAATCAAATTTATTTAATTTATTCATCTTAGATATTGCACCAGCTTTTATGTGGGTGTACAAAACTACATCTACAGATAATTGGCCATGTGTAGTTTTGAAAATGCTGATCGAATTTTGGAATACAAAATCAAATAGCACAAGGATTCATATTTAGGACGCTTCCCTTGAATTCAGTTCTGTTCTTTTACAAATAAGCAAAAGAATTGCGAAAGAATATCTGACTTTATAGTACAATACTATTGGTGAAATATATATATATATATATATATATATATATATATATATATATATATATATATATATATATATATATATATATTAATTAAAAAACAGACCACTTTAAGGTACCATTACAATAATTTATTTCACCAAAATCCTTTTTGAAGGACTCCGGATCATCAGGTAACACTTCCAACAACGAAATGAAAGGAAAAATGGGATTAGAAATTGATGGGTAGTGTAATTTTTGTAATTTAGCAGGGAGGGTGAGAGTTGTAGTTAAAGAGACAAGGTAGAGTATAGGGAGGGGTTAATTGCATATCTCTCTTAAGCATGTTTTATATTGGGGTAGGAGGAGTGACCTAATCGTGACCTATTTAGATGGTTAACTTAATGGAAATGATATATAGGAATGGGAGGGTAGTGGGGGGAAAAGAAAAGGAAAAATGGAAAAGAGATAGACAACAGTAATACAGATATATCTAAATGAGTGTTACGGCAAAGAGAGAGGGGGAGAGGAAAGTGAACTGAAAGAGGCTGTAGTTTTAACAAAATTATGTAAAAGATAGATTTCAATGCTTGATAGAAATTTAGATGTCTAAAAAATGATGAATGTTATCAATTTAAACATTTAGTTTTTTAAGTAAACAGTTTAGGGACTTAATATAAGTTAACTACTATTTTTTATTAGCACATTTATCGAGAACATATTAAAGAAATATTTAAACTTATAATAGTTTATTTACCCGACCAATTGTACTTTCATAATATTGTAAAAAATTTTTTTAGTAACAATAACATCTATATTAGTTTTACTTTAAATCTAATTTATGAATGCAATTTTTCTTTATTATTATATGGGTAAACTTAATTAAGGTTTAGGTTTCATTATTTAATAATATTTGAGGGTAATAAAAGATTTTGTTTTCTTCTTATATATATATATATATATATATATATATATATATATATATATATATATAATATAAAAGAAAAATGTCTCAAAATTTTTAAAAAATCACTTATATTGTTGAAAATCTTTATTATTAAAAGGAAAAACTAAAAAAAAATTTGATTATTAAATTAAATTTTTGGTTCTTTTTAGCACCTGTCTATATCTCTGAGATGAGGTATTATGATTATTTGTATCATTTACATTATTCGGACTGTTATCTTCATCATCATTGCCATATTAACAACGTTTCGGCCGTTGAGACACCTGGAAAAGGCATGGTACGTGGAACTAGAATAATCTACCCCTAAATAAAGGGTTCCGTTCGAAATGTCAATCACCTGAAGAATGCCGGTGCGTACAACGGCCGAAACGTCGTGAATATGGCAATAAGGATAACTGTCCGAATAATGTAAATAATACAAGTAATCTTTTTAGCACCTTCAAAATTCTTTGGGTCTAGTCACTGAATCTAACCAATGATTTGTCTAACCAAAGATTTATGAAAGAATATCCGATTTTCCTTTGATAGCATTATTTTTCTTTATTTTTTTTTTTTTTTTTTTTTTCAGGTGAGATGGAACGCCTTCAAAAATTCTGGTTGGCCGGCGCTTGTAAGAAACAGGACCAAACGGGAGAATCAAGTCACTCCCTGGGCATCCTGAACTTTACGTCGGCCTTCATTCTTTTGGCAGGTGGAATGGTCTTAGGCAGTATCCTCCTGGTCGTTGAACATTTTTATTTCAGATTCGGGCGGAAGACTCTGCAAAAATGGGACAAATGTGGATGTTGCGGACTTGTAAGTTTGGTAAGTATTTCATTTTTTTTGTTCTTTGGTTTTTGTTTTTCGTTTTGTTTTGTTTTTTGTTTTGTTTTGTTTTGTTTTTTCGCATTTCATATATTATTCTCAATCTTTGATATCAGAACGATTGGTCGATCGGTTGACTTTCTTCTTGATTATTATGTTCAATTTTATTAATTAGTCTTCTCTTTTTCTTGATTCTTTTTCTTGATTCAGTTCATATATATATATATATATATATATATATATATATAGATAGATAGATAGATAGATAGATAGATAACTAGACTCGTTTCGAAAAACCCTCGAATTTTTTATTTGTTAATCAAATCAATTTCGAGGGAAAAAAAGGTTTTAAAAAAAGAAAGAGCTACAAACATGAACTTCTGCCGACAAAAAATCGCACAGATGCAGGTCTGAAGCCCAAAGAAAAAACTCCGATACGAGTAACAACTAACTAACAAAAGAGCTCAATACAAGCCAAGCTTTCCCTGACGATCCGTTTAGGTGAAACCTAGGTAGGTTTGTCTGGCTCACTAGGTGTATCTATATATATATATATATATATATATATATATAGAGAGAGAGAGAGAGAGAGAGAAGTGGCATATTTAAACTAATTTAAGCACAATTGACGGGAAATTCGAATGAGATTTGAGTTCGTATATTGAGCGAAGAAACATTTTTAGGTGATGGTAGTAATAATGTCCATACAATTCCAATAATCGAATTTCTTGTCTTTTGTGATGTCAACGAACACTCGTTGCCATTTTTTGTGATTTCAACGAATACTCGTTGTCACTTCGTAATACCTGTTGTAGTAGAGACTTTGTAATCGCAGATACAACTTATAGTAACGCCGTTGAACAATACTGGTGTCAGACGCCTTCGAATATCACTCGCACTAATAGTACTTGCTTGATAATATTTGCTTTAATAGTAATCCGTATAGTGAATAGAATAGATAATAGCGTTCCATATAATGATAGAGAAGAAATCCAGATCAATTAGACACACGCTACCCCCAGCCATATATGAGTTTCCTCTATGCTCACGTGGTCTTTAATAATGGGATCGCCTGTGTTTGCTAACTGGCGATCTATGTTCAAACTGAAGTGTCGGCAGCGACACTTTATTCCTATATAACATCGTGCTTATCTTCTACTTATCACATCCGTTGTTCTTAATAACCCCACTTTAAAATCACTCATACAAATATGTATGTGACTATCATTTATATCTATTTTATTTGAAAAACAATCCATAAACACCCATTTAGATGGGAAATGAGCAATTTGTTATTCGTCTTTTAAAAAAATTAGAACCAACAACTGTCATATATATATATATATATATATATATATATATATATATATATATATATATATATATATATATTTTATTCTTTCTATTTTGTTCAATTTATTTTCGGTCATTTTATTACTTTGAAATCCCATATTTCAGGTGTTTGGGTCAAGGTACTAATTTTCGCCCTCCACTTCAAGTTTGTTACATGCGTGCATGCCGAAAATACTCTGTCTCTTTCTAGATATATATATCGTCTGGCCTAGGGCGCCTCGAGGCAGTGTAATGGTTAGCAAGCTTGTATCGCTAGTACAATTACGACTGAGTTGTTAGTTGTGAGTTCGATCCTCACTGGGTTCCCCATACTTTCGGCCTTGTGCCACATCTAAGCTACGCTTGGAAAATCAATATATACCGTCTGGTCCGCACTCCTTCCACGTCTAACAGTGGCAGAGGATCATCTCTTGTTCCCTGTTCAGGATATGGTTTACATGTTCTTTCTTTCTTCTTTCAGGGCATTAATGATATAACTGTCTTATCTTTAGGGTCATCGGACTAATCAGCGGCTGCAACTTTTCATTATGAGAGTACCAGGTTTGCAGTAAGCTGGTCGTTAGGAGCCCGAACTCTTTGGTAACGCTTAGGGTGGGGCTTCTTTGTTCAAAAGTTACTTAATATCGAGGTATTTGTAGTGCGCAGCAGTAGGTGTCCCTGTATGTATTTCCGGTGGGAAACCCTGAGGCCACATTATGTTCTGTTTTCAGCCAGATCCGACTGGTCCGTATTGCCGTAAACGACGAAGCGTGATAATTATGTTGGCCTTTTCTTTTTCTCCGCAATACAAATTTCTTTATAACAAACCCGACGAAACGAAAAACGAGAAAACCAGTAAACAAGAATCCACCTACATATTGACCTGCAGATAGGGTTTGTTATTCTTTATGATGTAATGAATATGCATGCACCTGGGTTCCAACTCACAGTAATATGATTGGCTGTTGTCAGCCATAAATAGAGACTGATATGGAGGCTCAGGACTACGTCTCTTGACGACGCCTATTGCCTACGCCTTTAGTCTTCGCCTATTGCCTACGTCTATTGCCTACCTCTATGACGAGGACCAGTCCATTACGGTTACCTGCTAGATTGTCCTACCCGGTGACAGTAGTCCCAAAACCACTTTTCTACTTCGAAGAAATATATCCCTTTTCGGGACATATCACTTTACATGAGGAAAATTGGATTCGCTGTTCTTGACATGGAAATGTTGTGTTCGATAACAAGACAAGATCCTAAAGTACCAAGATTTCAATAAAACATTAGATTCCTTTGTATATTTTCCAAAATTTTTAAGATTACTGGGTAGGTTTGAAAAAGTCGAACGCGTCATATTCGTCAAGTAATTTTTACGGATTTTTACGTATAAAAAATAGATTTCTCAAATATCAGGCCATCAATAGAGCTATCAACACCTTATACAACCAACCAACTCCGTATTAAAAAAAATGCTTTTCTACGATATTTTAAAATAATGTAAGGAATATTTGTTTCAAAATAGATTAATTAAGCTTTAAATATTTCTTAAATAAAGTTTCAGAGAATACTTTTATTTTTTGAAAGATTTTTTTAATTAAGAGAATTACACAACTGTAAATAGGACTAAAACCAGGGATTTTTAACTAAAAAAACACATTCCAATCAATTTAAGTTAGAAATACAGAAATTTATTTTGTCTATTGGAAATATTAAATTTAATCTGTTAGCTTAAAATTAAATCTAAACTGTGTGTGTGTTTACAAGTAGTAATCTCAAATAATTATTTCCTATTTCACTTAACATAGACTTACTTGTTCCACGATAGATTCTATTTGAATAATGATTCGATAATGTCTCCATTCCATAAATCACAGGTTCTTATGCACTGTTAATTCTCTTGACAATTCCCAGTCATAAAACCCGTTCACTCCTCACGTCACTGGTGAGACATTTTGATAAAACGGCCTCTTATTTTGTTTAAAATGGATTTTATTCACTGACTTTTTCTCTTCTTCGTTTACTAGTAACGAAATCAATTTTCATTTTCGCAATTGAAACAGTCGCGACATGATTGCCTTCCCCACCCCAAATTCTTTATCTTCACATTTCATTGCTTTTCAAATTCATTCGTCACAATAGAACGTTGATATCATTTAGCTGTGACTTTTACAAAATCATTCACACCCACGTAAATGGGTTGCACCATTCATCTACCTTCTCTTCGGAATACTGAAGAATGTTTAAGGATATGAATATAGACCAATCTGAATTTCTTTAATTTAAACAGACTGCTCAGCAACATAACTACATAGACATAATGTATGCATATTTAGTAAACTTGTTCTAGCAATAGATATCCAATATGGATCACTGAACTATCAACAGTCTGCGAGATTTTTATCGCAATAAAGGGGGATTTTCTTATATTTTCAATGTGCTTACCGTAGTCTAATACAAGGCCACAATATAGTATCAATATTGTGATTTTAATGATAATGTTATTATTATCAGACGATGTGAAAAGAATTTACATAAAATAAATAGACAAAACTTGTCTATATTATTTAATGAAACATGCATCAATGAAAAAATGCTGCCTAAATACACACAATTTAAATTACATGATCCAGCAGCCCAACAAACTATCAACACTTGGAATTATAAATTATGTAAGCCGGAAGCTTAGATAGGATTAAAAAATATGTATCAATATTGTGGATTTTCTTTCCTCGTTTAATGATAATGTTAATAAGCTTATCAGACGATATGAAAAGAATTTACATAAAATAAATAGACAAAACTTATCTATATTATTTAATGAAATATGCATCATGATATATATATATATATATATATATATATATATATATAGGTGGCCACTCGTATTTGAGGATACCCGTTTACTAGGGCAGCAAGCTAATACCTATTGCAGACGCCTGCTCAGGCGTATTTGTGCTTATTCAACACCACAGAGCCCACCTGTGGTTCATATTGCAACTGTAACTCGTTGTTGATAGAATAGAAATAATGGTCAGTCTTTTTATTAGTTCAATCCGCTGTAAAATTAATTAAAACAACAATGATTACCTTCATTCGGTTACAGACTCAACTTTTACCTACTATATATATATATATATATATATATATATATATATATATATATATATATAAGTGAATATTGAAATCATCAGGATGATTTCTTGCGTCTAACATACATGAAACAGTCTGTCGCCTCTGAGTACTGACTTCAATGTTCCCTTTTATATTTACATACGCTCTATCCCTGATATTGAGTACTTTATTCCATAAATATAGCACACCTTAAAACTATATTTCTTCATAGATAAATAGATAGATAGTTACATTGATTTGAGTTTGTGACCCTGGGTTTCACGTCCTTTGCGACCGTCTGTCTGACAATCGGAAGAGGCATGAAACCCAGGGTCACAAACTTACATCAACGCAACTAAATATGTTAGTTCTATCGCTGATATTGAGCGCTTTCCAATAAGTACCGCTCATATATAATAAATGAATAATATATATAAAAATTGCATATATATATATATATATATATATATACAACATTATACATACATATATATGTATATATATATATATATTAAATTGTGTAGTATATATATTATATCATAAAGAGATAATTATACAAAGAATTAATTAGCTATGTTAATGTAACTAATGGCGAAATCTCTTCGCTTACAAAATTAATAAGGCATTAACTTACTAATAATTCAGTGAATAATGCAAACCATATATTTAAATTGTTGTCTGATTTGATGCTGCAAAGCTGACATTACTAAATTCACACAAAAATTCTCATTTGAAATATTTAACTAATAACTCTAGTGTTGCGACACCGCACGTTCCAAAATTCTATAACTGCCAATAAATATCATATTTAAAAAAAAACAACTTTTGGTCTACACTACATTTATTTCGTCTAGTAGTTTACCTGCAAATGGAAGTATTATGCCCTGAGGATGAAAATAGGTAATTATCGAAAGTACTCGGCCCAGAAACATGATAATGAAGATGAGAATAATACAGATAATAATAATAACAATAATAATGATGATAACAAAAACAATGGAGGTGGTTATGAAGTGATAGTCCCCGAGCCATAGGAGTGACGTTAGGGTAGGTAACGGGCAGTGAAGACCGAAAAATGTTTTTTAATAAGTTTTGTTAGCGAAGAGATTTCGACATTAATACATTAACATTGCTAATTAAATTAATTCTTACCTCTTTATTATATATATATATAAAACAGAAGACGACGATTGACATTGCATTTAAATTTTTGAAGATTGTAGATAGCAGGGAAGCAAGAAATCGAAAGGGAATTCCACAGGCGAGAAATTCCAGAAAATAAAATATTAAAATAAAACAGAATGTTGCATTTAGGTCGGTCAACAGTAAAACAATGAAGCCTAGTTACCAATCTAGTACCACATTTAAATCCATGCAGTCAAGTCACTAAGGAAAAGGCCTCATCAGAACAGTCGGCATGAAAATAATGGTAGAAAAGATAGAGGCAAACTATATATATATATATATATATATCGAAAATGATCAATAAAGAAACGGAAATCGTTATATATATATATATATATATATATATATATATATATATATATATATATATATATAGTATATGAACAAAGATAATGGATCTTTTGAAAGAGATAAGTTGTGAAAAAAAAACTATGAAGGTAATATCAAAAGAAGGAAGAAATGTGTCGGCCCCCAGAGACTGACGACTTCTTTTTTATTATGTTCATTTGTGCTCACCATTTTGGTAAGTTCCAAGCAGTAAAGAAGCGAGGGAAATTCTGTTGACTCTTTTCCCGCTTAAAATAAGTTTTATTGAAGACTACCGACAAAGAATCTTACTTATTATAAAACCTAGGTTGTGAGTTGTGTGTGTGTGTGTGTGTGTGTGTGTGTGTGTGTGTGTGTGTGTGTGTGTGTGTGTGTGTCTATACGTTTATATATTGGATCGGATTTCCTACATTTTTTTAATCCATTTCAACAAAACTTCACAGGACTACGTAAAATTACCTTGCGGTGGTACTGACAGCGCCCAAAATTGGAAAAACACAATTGTTTTTGCACGAAATCAATTTGAAAACACGATTAAGTGGCATTATTGAAAGGTGGACAACTCATATCGAGTTATACTTATTATAAATCCCAGATTGTGTGTGTGTGTGTGTGTGTGTGTGTGTGTGTGTGTGTGTGTGTGTGTGTGTGTGTGTGTGTTCGTATATATATGGGATTGGATTTCCTACATTTTTCAACCGATTTCAACAAAACTTCACTTTTTTTTGGCAGGTAGCATTTCTTATTGTCTTGCTCACTTTTTTCTTTATTCTTACATTCAGAATTCTTTAAAAATTCTATTTACAGGACAATTGTTTATAATAAAATTCTATTTAATCGGTAGACTCATAACGATTGAAAACAATGTTTTTGTTTGAGTTTGGGTTTAACCAATTCGTAAAAAAAAAAATAATTAAGACATGCGTGTCCGTCAACCTTAAACAATAATCTTTGTCAATTTTATTTTTCAGTCTTTATGATGGTCGATACTTGATCTATCTCTTACTGTTACATCCCCGGGCAACGCTGGGCTCTACTGCTAGTTATTGATAAATTTTAATAACATTCTCTTGTTTTTACACATGAAAGAAACTTCTAAATAAAAACTTTGATCTACGGCAATAAAAAATATACTTATCTGTTTAATATGCGTATATCCTTAAGCGATTTTTCATTGGAAATCAATAGATAATCATCAATTGATAATATAAAACATTTTCCAATAAAGAAATCTTTCGTTCATAATTTAAGCATAAATGGCTTATTGGCAACTACATAATCCAAGAAGTTACTAAATTACTCCAAGAGATTAAGTCAATTGCTGGAATATTTACCTGTGAATAAATCAGGTATACGGTCACATCACGTTGAAACACCAGTTCTCGTAGATCACCGAAGTTAAGCAACGTCGAAACTGGTCAATACCGTGATGGTTGATCGCTTGGGAATACCAGATGCTGTCAACTTGGATGGGCGGGTGGTGTAACGGATGATGGCATTAAATAACACATAGAGGTTGATATGCCACTAAACAAGAACAACCAACCAATAATGTGAATAAAACTGGAAGAACAAGACAAAGACAATGTTATTTCCAAGTACACAGTTCTTAATTAGAAATGAGACAAAAATTGGTAGCAATTTTGAGCAAAGTATGTACAATTGCATTATGCATTTTGTTAAAAATTTTAAATTTAGGAGCCTTACACTTGTTTTATTTTCCTTTTTCTCTCTATTATTTTGTTTTTTTTTTTTGGGGGGTTGTTTTGGGGGGGTGTTTTTTTGACTTATCAACCCTTTGCAGGTTATATAAAGTCAGGAAATATTTTTAGATGGTACGAATTTTTTAGAGATAATTATGATTTTTACCGATATAAGTTCTAATAAGCCCATAGCTTGGGGGAAGAGATGTATTCATGCCTTTCCCAAAGGTATACGCGTGTAAATGAATATAACAAGCGCGACTTGAATTTGAACTCGGCTCTCTGATTTTTCCGATTCCCAGCCGTTATCCATTACACCATCCGCACATCAAAGCTTACAGCACCTGGTATTGCCAAGCGGTCACCCATCTACGTACTGTGGAGGCTCGACGTTGCTTAACTTCGGTGTATGTAATTAATGCGAAAATAATTATAAAATTGTTCTTAAAAATAATTTTTTTTCATTTTTTACGCGTATGGCTTGTACGTTCGTCCAGTCTTTTCTCCCTGGTTAAGGGTTAAATAGAAGAATACTGCCGAAACGGACATTATTTTCCATTACTAAATGAAAATATCGAGTAGTTTAACAGAATATAAAATTGTTTATTAGAATTAAATGATAATAAAAAATAAATTATGATTTAAATATTTTTTTTTTATTTTTACAAGAATTTAAAATATTTTTTATTATATTTTGCTGAATTTGTCTCAAAACGCTGTTTGCATAAGACTAAACATTCATTATTTTATTTTGTGCTCGTTCACCAGTACACTGTGGATATAGACACAAAACTCAGTCGTATCTGTATTAATAATACCGTGTGTCGCAACCTGAATACACATGCAATCAGAGGGGGTGTGCTTCTCTTGCCAGAATTCCCTATATATTTTCACAGTAACTGCCATTTTTCCCAGAGAATATATTTTCTTTGTAACCAGAATTCAATATTTACTAGTTTTAGTTTAATTATGTAAAGAATTAAAATGTCTCAATGTTAAAATGGCGAGGGCCCGTTTGCCTGCATTGAAAATTTGCATTTAATATCTGTTTGCCGTGCAAGTCCTCATGCAGCTATTGAAGAAATTAATTTTTTTCTTTTACACATGAACATCTTATTAGGTCAATTTCAATTATTTTCCTTTTAAAAATACATAGGAAGATGTTCCCGTTAACACAGTATAATATATAGTTAGTTAAATATGGCGGACAACAATAAGAATTGATTTTTCATTTACTTAGATTCTCTCCAACTCTTCTCCTCTCGCCTCCTCTCTCCTCATGTTTCTCTCTCTCTCTCTCTCTCTCTCTCTCTCTCTGTCTCTCTCTCTCTCTCTCTCTCTCTCTCTCCATATGTTTTCCCGCCTTTCCAATCGAACCATATTCGGATCCGTCAGTAGAATCAAAGCGTGTTGTTCACGCCTTTCCTGTCACTTGTAGAAACCAATTATCGCGAATAATTGAGGTCAAGCCGTTTATGGTTCACTTTCGTCGCCTTAACTCGACAAAGACTCAACACTTCTGATCTACTGTGAAAGTGATCGACCAATCAGCAAAGATCTATGGTTGTTCAAATACATTCCTGTCTACTAGTCGCTCTAAACCGAAGTAGTTTTATCGATAAATTCTAGTCTATTCCAGAATTCGCCTTAGAAAAAATGATACCGGTTTATGTCCAGTTGGTCTTTACATCTTTCTCTCTTAAATTTCAAATAGACAAATACGAAACAAAAATACATATCAGATTAATTGATTTTCTCTTGAATTTGTTATTCGATAGCAACGAAAAACAATTCACGACTGCGTTTAGATTCTTTCTCTATCTGTGCTTATGAACGATCGATTTTCATTTGTTTTGAATACAATTTGCTGCAGTTACTTCGATTATAAGCCACATTAATCACGTTCTGCAATTCGACAAGTGACCAAAAATTACTCATGACCTTGTAAAGCAGTTGTGGCTGAATGTGGCTATTATGTAACAACATGTTAAATGTTATTAATCAGATGAATGTGATGATCGGATATGAGAATCATTTGATATTCAGGAATTTACGAAACACATTAATACTAGGTTGGTCAGAAAGTTCTGACTCACTTGGAAGCGAAATAGAATTTTATGGAGCAACACCAACATTTATTCTTCAAAATAAAGTCCATTATTCTCGATAATCTTCTGTCTGCGATCAGCCAGCATCCGAATCTGTCCCAGATACCAGCCCGCTGTCTTTGAATCTAAAAACTGTAAACAAGCTTCCTTCACTTCATCAAAAGTAATGAATTGCTGGTCGCGGAGGAAGTGTGCCAATGATTGGAATAGGCCATAGTCACTCGGGACGATATTGGGACTGAATGGTGGATGTGGAAGAATCTCAACACAGTGTATGGCCTCGAATTGTCTTGCTAAAACAAAGTAAGACCTTGATTGACCAAAGCAGGATACTCCTTCTTTAGTTTGTCGTACACGCGGTCTAGCCGCTGGTAATAGAGTTTAGAATTCATGGCGCGACCGTGTGGAACAAACTCGAAATACAGTGTTCTTTAGACATTCCACTAGACAGAAATCAAGATTTCCGCTTCTTAAGTGTGTCAGGACTTTCTAGCCAATCTAATATATATATATATATATATATATATATATATATATATATATATATATATATACACAACTCTGAATTCAAAACCTGCGGAGGGTCGTTTGGGGACCTTGTGGCACGTAGTGTACCAGGTCTCTGTATTCGGCCCTTCAAAAAGTGTGGATGGTCCTGCACGAAACCTTCACCACTATAATCAGATCTCATGTGCTGTTGTCAGGGTGTCGGTTTGCTAGGAACTGATCTGCTTGACCTTCATACGTCGAATTCGACGGGAGAATCGAATATATATATATATATATATATATATATATATATATATATGACAGGATACCCAAGATCCTAATGTACAGCCAATTAAATCAGGACTACAGCAATGTAGGACTTCCATGTCTAAGACACAAAGACAAGCTGAAAAGCAACTTGTCAGCAGTCAATATACCACATAACACTCTTGAGCGCTTAGCTTTGGAGCGGGTAGAATGGAGATCAACGTGTTTTAGTGGACTCAGCAATTTTCAATCTGCTTGTCTGAATTATCTTCAAGAAGTGAGAGCAAGATCTAAAACGTCAGCCAGTCTAACAGTGATCTCATCTGACAATCCTCACACTTGCTCCATATGTGGCCTCCTTTGCAAATCACTAGCGGGTCTTAAATGCCACTTAAGATTATCGCACAAACTTTCTGAACTGAATCAATAAGCTGTCAGTTCCTCATACGTCGAAACCGACGGGAGAATCCATTATTATTATTATTATTATTATTATATATATATATATATATATATATATATATATATATATATATATATATAGATATATATAATCTTCAGGCCTAAAGACTGCATTCAAGCATGCAACAGACTGTCGCCACTTGTGTACAATTTTACATTTACATACGCTCTATTTCTGATTTTGAGCACTTCTACCCATAAATACAGTACACAGTAGAAGTGTTGAATCTCTGGTTGCAGAGGAAGTGTGCCATTAAGCTGAATAGGCCATAGTCACTTGGAGCAGCATCGGAATTGAACGGTGGATGTGGAAGAATCTCAACACCGTCCTTTCTGTTTGAACTTCTCCTTAGTCAATCTGGCAGTGTATGGCCTCGAATTGTCTTGCTGAAAAAAAAAACGACCTCGACTGCCCAAAGCAGGATAGTCCTTCTTTGGTTTGTTGTACACGTGGTCTAGTTGCTGACAATACAGTTTAGCGTTGATGGCGCGACCGTGTGGAACAAGCTAAAAATGCAATATTCATTGGATATTCCACCAGACAGAGATGAAGTGTGCATCGTCTGAAATAACAAATATAAGAATCATCATCATTGCCATCATTATCATCTGGTTCTGGTTCGAATTCTTACATACCAATTATCTGAGTTTCTGTTAATTATTTTCCTGTTTACTCAGTGACGTTATCAGTCCATTTTTCCTTTTGCCTGCCTGTTCTTCTGTCGCCTTGTGGAAAGTTTGTTGGCTATTATGATGTGTTTCGATACCATTTCAACTTTCTTTTACTGGCGATGGATATGAAGTCTTCAAATCAGCTTGTTTCTTGTTTAAGGATGTCTCTCACTGCGCGCCATTTTTGATGCAGTCGATGTAGATTCGGTCGGTGGCATCTCATTTCTACTTGAATTCCTTGTTGCGTTTCTGCTGTTAATGTCCAAAATCGCAAGCGTACAGAAAGAATGTGAAGACAAAAAAACTGAACATTCTGATCCTTGATTTCAGGCAGGTGTTCTTGTTCTTCCAAATGGTTCTAGATTTTGCAACAAATGACATTATTTCTGCTTCCCTTGAAATGATTTATGTTCTGCAGACTTCTTCTTTGATACTCAAACCAAGATATTTGAATTGTCTAACTACTTAAGTTAATGATCACCGTTTGAAAACCCTTTCTCATTGTTAGTCATGAGTCACTGTGCCATGTGTCCTCAAGGAAGGCATACTGGATAAAGGCGTTAGTTAGATCCAGTGACAGAACCCAAAGAGTGTGAGTTCAATACTCGGTTAAGGCGGTGGAGATATGATACTCACGTTCTTACACTGTGAATGTAAAGTCGATTACGTATCTGTCTATATTTCTGAGATGAGGTATTTTGTACACTATTTACATTATTCGTACTATTGTCCTCATCTTTGGTGCCATATTTATTACAACGTTTCGGCCTTTCAGTATCTGTCTATATTTCTGTGATGAGGTATTATGTACACTATTTACATTATTCAGACTATTGTCCTCATCTTTTGTTGCCATATTTATTACAACGTTTCGACCTTTCAGTATCTGTCTATATTTCTGAGATGAGGTACTATTTACATTATTCGGACTAAACTTTGTTGCCATTTATACAACGTTTCGGCCTTTCAGTATCTGTCGATATTTCTGTGATGATATTTATACACTATTTACATTATTCAGACTATTGTCCTCCTCTTTGTCGCCATATTTATTACAAAGTTTCGTCCGTTGTACCCAGGTGGTTGGAAGGACACATGTTTCAGTGGATAGAGGCGTTGGTTAGATCCAGTTACAGTGCCCAAAGAATGTGAGTTCAATACCTGGTTAAGGCGGTGGAGAACTTTGAGAGTGAAAATAATGAGAGATAACTGATAACTGACATCCATTAGACATGGCACGTGGAACTAGAACAGTCTACCCCAGTGAGCGAAATAAAGGTTTCAGTTCGACATTCCAACCACCTGAAGAAGGCCGGAGAGTACAACGGCCGAAACTTCGTCATAAATATGGCAACAAAGATGAGGATGATAGTTCGAATGATATAAATAGTAATCATGAGTTGTTTTCTGGGGGGTTTTTTGCCATTAATCGCTATGCCATATCCGGAAGGTGTGCCATTGATTTTCTTTCTCAGTCTGACGAGTTCGTCTTCTTTACCAACCAGACCATCTATATCGTCTACTAAGCAATGCAACTAGATGACCAACAAAACTCCAATCCAATTTCCCGTGCTGAGAATGTCTGGATATAAAGTAATTAACATTTTATAGATTCAGAACAACACTGGTGAATCCTTATGCTACGGAAATAAAGATTATTCATGTTTCTTTGGGAAGACAGGTAAGTAAGAGCGGTGGTATTTAATGCTCATCAGAAAGAAACATACCTAATATGGCGAAGGTCGAAGTGATTCAGCTGTCAAAACATTTCTGTCCGTAGCACTTAAGGCCCGTCTACTCAGCAACTCCAGCCACACCCTATCTCCACTTTAAACATTGCTTTCTTCACCCAAACGTTTCTTTTTTCCCTTTCCATAGTAACTTTCCTTCCAACCTTGGGGTCAACCGTTTTCTTTTTCGGACTACCCTTTATCCTGATTGTCTGTTCCTTCGAGTCAATACTTACCACATTCCACGAAATAACGACTCTGCAACCAACTCTTCTCCATTGTCTTCCTGCTATCCTCTCTGACTTCTTTTACCCAAGCAGTTTTGGGCCAAAAACTATCAATGTTCGATTCGATGAAGAGACGAACGGGTCGGTTATAGGCGTTTGTGCCTTAGTTTCAAGAAATGCTATACATGGAAGCACACAAACAAAAAATTCGGAAATTGAGCCATTCACACTTATAAAGTCCATCTCTCTGTCTCTATCTATCTATCTATCTATCTATATATATATATATATATATATATATATATATATATATATATATAAATATAATATAGTTTTAAAAGTATGCTATATTTATAGGATAAAGTGCTCAATATCAGAAATAGATTGTATGTAAATATAAAAGTGAACATTGAAGTCAACCCTCAAAGGTGACAGTCTGTTTCATGCTAAATGCAATCATCAGGCCACGTCCTGGTCTGCGTTAAGCATGAAACAGTCTGTCGCTTCTGATTTTTGACTTCAATGTTCACTTCTATATATTATCTGGAGCGTAAAAATGATTTAAGTTTCTTTCATCTCTCTCTCTCTCTCTCTCTCTCTCTCTCTCTCTCCACTTCACTTTCTTTCAACCTCTCTCTTTCCACCTCTCTCTCTCTCTCTCTTTCAACCTCTCTCTCTCTCTCTTTCAACCTCTCTCTTTCCTCTTCTCTATTTCAACCTCTCTTTCCACCTCTCTCTCCCTTCCCACCTCTCTCTTCCTTCCCACTTCTCTCTTTCCTTCCCCACCTCTCTTTCCCTCTCTCTTTTACACCTCTCTCTCTTCCCACTTTTCTCGTTCGACCTCTCTCTTTCAACCTCTCTCTTTCCACCTCTCTCTCCCTTCCCACCTCTCTCTTTCTTCCCACCTCTCCCTTTCATCCTCTCTCTTTTCACCTCTCTCTCTCCCCACCTCTCTCTTTCAACCTCTCTCTTTCCCCCTCTCTCTCTTCCCACCTCTCTCTTTCAACCTGTCTTTTTCCATCTCTCTCTCTTCCCACCTCTCCCTTTCAACCTGTCTTTTTCCATCTCTCTCTCTTCCCACCTCTCCCTTTCAACCTCTCTCTTTCCACCTCTCTCTCTTCCCACCTCTCTCTTTCAACCTTTTTTCCATCTCTCTCTTTTCCCACCTCTCTCTTTTCAACCTCTCTCTTTCCACCTCTCTCTCTCTCTTCCCACCTCTCTCTTTCCACCTCTCTGTGATTACATGTGTGCCTTTTTATATTTCAGCTTTCTTTAAACAAACAATATTTTAAATATTTAAAAATATTTTTGCAATATTTAAAAAGTATTTTCAAGTGAATATGATTTTAAAATATTTTTTGGCATATTAAAAAATTAATTAATTAATTAATCTGATTTTAAAATTATTTTAAGTACCTCATTTAGTACCTTATTTACCTCCACTAAAAAATCAGTATACCGTGATAAAAAAAAATATGCTCCAAACATAATGAAAAGTTTTATCGTTAAAATTTTTATGTTATTATTAAGAGGAAAGGTCAAAGTATTTTTTTATTATTTAATTAATTTTTTACCTCTTTTTAGAACATTTAAAATTTTGATTAAAAAAATTGTTTTCCTTGTGTAAGCGGTTGTACTAACTTTAGAATAGCAAAGTTGCACTTTTTTGCGGTTACAGACCACATTTATTTGGAAATTCTTGCAAAAATCAAATAATTGTCGGATTTTAATTAAATTTTCAGAACTTATTCACAAACGAATGAAATTATTTATGAAATTTTTTACTAGAAAATCTTGAGAAAGTCATAGAAATAATTTTTAGTGACTGTATTCATTAAAGGCAGAATTTTTATAAGAATTTTTTTTTTTTTTTTTTTTTTTTTGCAAAATCGGACCCGATCTTACCGAAAATCTGTTCTGAATCAAAAAATAAAAAACGCCATAAAACTAAAACCTTATTTAATTAGAGAAGCTTTAAATTGCTTTTATGGATAAGGACAATATTGTCTGAAGAAAAATTTTCGTTGAAAAATGAATTTTTACAAGATTTTTTTTCATCTTTTACAATTTAAAATTGAATAATTTATAAAACTTTTGGATCTTGTAAATTGCAATTTAAATCTAATAATTCTTAGGAAATATCGTTATTGAGTAAAATTATATTTACTAAACATATATTTTAAATCTTGCTACAATCTAAAGACCCGACTATTTTTAAAAGAATTTCGATTTGTTTTTATATATGTATATAGATACAAAATTATTGAAATATGGATGTACAAACCGATAAATTTATTCTTAAAAGGTCACATGTTTTATGGGTTGTCCCCCTTACGGGAAAAAACAAAACCCTAATGAAATCTGTCGTCTGCTACGCCATACTTAACTATGAACAAGTTCGGTGGTCAATCTGCCGTCAATAAATCGATTAACACGTCAACAAAACAAGACTCTGTGGTTAGGAAATGCTTGTATATAACATTTATGCTATAAGTAAGTAATATTTGTTTCAAATCAAACTAACTTTACTTTAAATTCGCTAATTTTCCTCAAATAACATTTCAGAAATATATATTTGATTTTTGCAAGATTTTTAAAACGGAAAATTTTGTTTAATAATATCCAGAAAATGGCTGACGTTATCGATTTTAAGTGGAAAGAAAATGCAAATCTATTCCAATCAATGTAATTTCTGTCTGAAAAACACCAAAGTATTTTGCTTAGCGGGTATAATAAATTTAATTCTTTAGCTTTCATAGATGAATTGAAAGCTTCAGCAAATCTTTTTTCATTTTTATAAATACATTTCAAACCTTGCGTAAACGCAATTCGTAGAGGTGCCTAATTTAATAATTTAATGAATAAGATTTAAAAATACGAGTTGTTTATACAGTAAGTATTTTTATTTCAACATTCTTCAAACAAAAATTATTTTTAATGTTGAAAATGCAATGTTTTATAACCTGAACCGTTAGTTTCCCAACAGATCATGGGTAGTCTAGGTATATATATGTTTATTACTTAAATGTTATTTTTAGTACATACTCGTATACACACACACACACACACACACACACACACATATATATATATATATATATATATATATATATATATATATATATATATATATCACTAATAGGTATAACAAATAAGCCGTTATAAAAAAGTGTAAAAATAAAAATAATTGCTCAATGTATGATAAAACGACTGCTTGCTATTTAATAGCTACATTTCGCATCGTTTTACACGGCGGACTGATGATATAAAGATGGAAATTTACTAGTCAACAAGTCTATCTACAATTTATCTTAATACAATCTTTACAAGGTACTACATGCTAGGCAAACTCGATCTATTTGGCAAGGACGTTAAAATAATCCTGAAATTATACTGGGAAGAAACCACCTGAATTGAGAAGCTATACAAGCATAGAAAGGGACGTAAAACAAGAATGTGACTTCTGATTAGATTCATTCAACCTCAACACCTTGGCTATCCCAAGGGAAATGCAACCAGGATTTATTGTTGGTGGGTGTAATCTCAAGAATATAAGATACACAGATGACACTGTTTTGATGGAAGACACGGAAAGAAGACTTCAGGACACCCTAGACAGCGTAAAAAGAAAAGCAAGAAAAAAGGGACGAAACATCAACTAAACAAGACAGAAATTTAAAAAAAAGCAAGAGTCAAAATGCGAACTGCAAATTGTAGATGTCAAAATAAAGCAAGTACAAACATTTAAATATCTGGATACACTTTTAACGAGGGAGGGGGGTAGAAAATGTAGCACCGAAATCCGAAGTATGCATCAGACTAACAAAAGATGCATTCCAAAATCTAAGCAAGGTGTTGAGAAAGAGAAACATTTTGTTAGAAACAAAAGAAAGAGTGCTGGGTTGTTACGTGAAGCCCCTCCTCGTGTGGCAAAAAATGCTGGACAATGTCCCAACAAATGAGAAGAAGACTGGAGGCAACGGAAATGTGGTCTACAGAAGGATACTGAGAATTCTAATTAACGGAGCGAGTAAGCAACAATGGATTCTTAAAGAGAATGGCAACAAAAAGATCACTTAAGCTCAGAATCATGAAAAGACAGCTGAAATTCCTTGAACACATAATGAGGAAAGGGGCATAGAAAACTTAACACTCACAGGGAAAGAGAAATAGGGAAAAGCAGCGAAACACTTGCCTGACGAGCTGGAATGAATGGATGACGGAACGGAGGGGCTGTGGCCTTGACAAAGAGAAAAACTGCTCAGATAGAATGGTATGGAGAGCCATGATCGCCCATCCCCTGAAAGGACATGATACATAGAAGATGTATATAAATATATATATATATATATATATATATATATATATATATATATATAGAGAGAGAGAGAGAGAGAGAGAGAGGAAGATATATATGTACATATGTGCGCTTATGTGTGTTCGGGCTCTGATATAATATATATGAGACACTCTACAGGTGATAGACATGTACCCATTAACCATCATTGTATGCATGTATATTCCATTGGTACAAAATCTGAAGTTCTAGCCCGGGTGACATCGGAATCTAGCAAGCCTTCTCCACTTGAGAAGTCTGGCGTTACACAATCTGCTCTTAATTTCAACATTTTGCCCATCTTCCTTGTTAAGTTAAACATCGTTAATATAAACTCTCACAACAACAACGTGTAACACAGTTGCAAATTATAGATATGCAGCCTTGCACACACCCAGTCTCATAATGAGGCGCAATACACTTGTGTGTGTGTGTGTGTGTGTGTGTGTGTGTGTGTGTGTGTGAACAATGAAAAAATAGTCAGCGCACTTCTAATAATATCACGCTCATAGTTTAATAGAAATATGTCGGACAACAAGGAGTGTTTACAGCGCAAAGACGTAGAATGGAAATCTCGATTTAGTGAATTAGTCTTGTCGAGAAAGATTAAATAAACGAAGATAAACACTTATTCTTAGCAACTGACCAAACCTGTAAAAATAATTCGAATCGTTATTTTGTTTCACTTTCTCCATATCTACGATTCCACGTCTCTCTCTCTCTTCTCTCTCTCTCTCTCTCTCTCTCTCTCTCTCTATATATATATATATATATATAATTATTTATATTATATGACGATATAAATATAAACCCATCATAAACTATATAATATATATATATATATATATATATATATATTTATATATATAATGTATTCACAGCATTCCTCTTTTATACAAGTTTCATTAAATATGGGTCACGGTACTACAGTTAAGTTTTTCATTGATTTTCTTTTGTTCTTGTAATCTTATTTTCTATACATAAATAATTCATGTCATTGTAATTATTTACATTGTCCGCAATTTGTCCTCATCTTAGTTGCCATATTCACGACGTTTCGGCCGATTAAATCTGACTGTCTTCAGGATCTGTCTATATTTCTGAGATGAGGTTAACGCTTTTACATTGTTCGGACATTTCCTGATCTTTTGTTCCATATTCAACTTTTCGACCGTTGTACGCTTTTCTTCAGGTGATTGGAATTTCGAAATAATTCCTTTATTGTCATTGGGGTTGATTGTTTTAGTTCCTCGTGCATGCCTCTTCCGGATGTACAAATTATCTCCCTTTAACTAAACTCACCAAGTTTTTCACCATTGCGTTTCGTATTGAACTCAAAATATACGTGGTCTGAAGTTGAGAAGGCCGGATCACCAACGGCCTAAACCTCGGGAATATAGCTGAAAATGAGGATGAGTCCGAACAATTTAAATAGTGTAAATAATTTACAATATCTTATAGACAGATTAAAGTTCGGACGGAGCGTACAACGAAACCTCTTTAGTTAAAAATTCAGTCCGAACAATGTAAATTATAAATAATTACCATTCAATAAATGTTTGGGCTGCTGTGTGAGGCCTTCTTGTCATGATGCAAGATGACACCTTCTGGATGACCCTCGTTTGTTTTTTTCATTAATCAAAGTCTTTAATGTCATCCACTGTCACCTTCTGTCAGACTGAATTGGGTTTGACTGATTCGATCACCTCAGGAGACCTCTTCTGTAGGCCTCCCAGGCCTGTCTTCATCCTCAACACTATCCGTCCTTCTTTAAACAATTTAGCCCCCTTGTAGACATTTTTTTGGCTGAAACCATTTGACATTCTCCTATGAATTTCAACTGGTTTTATTCAACTCAAAAACTTGATAACTGACCGCTGTTCAATCCTGGAGCGTGCTTCTT